AGATTAAATTGTAAAAAGGGGAAACGGGTATTATAAGTATAATATACTTGCACATGTCTAGGAATACATATACATATGTATGTGTGCACCTATGTGTATTTAAAAAGAAACCCCCCTCCCCCCCTTTTTTTTTATTTTTATGTTAATCCATGAATCTTATTTTTTTAATCATATATGTAAAAAAGTATGTTGTTTTATTATAAATTATTACTACACTGATAATTTTTTAGGACAATTTTTTACATATTTCCCTATCCTACACATATGAGAGTTCATTTTAAAAGTTTTCTTTTTTATCCCTCTTTTAACGAAACTTTGAAAATATTGCTGTATAATAAATTAAGCTAATTAAAATTATAAGAGAGTAACGCAAAGAGGTATTATACAGGTGTGTAACTGTTTCGGGCGAGCGTATGCAGACAAGTGGGGGGAAACGATTCTCGCATAGCAGTCTAGGCAACAGCGCCAGGGGTGGAAAAACTAGGTTATTCGTGCAGTTGCAAAGCGGGAAGTATATAAACACGGGCAATTTTTGGAGGAAGCGCATGAAACGTGCGCAGTTTAATGCGCTTTTTTTTTCTTTTTTACCTTTTTTTATCGTTCATTTTTGCATCCATCGGGGGGCCAAAAATGCGACAACGCTTTGTGGAACAGTTCATGCGTAAATTTTTGTTCGCACGTAAAGCTGACTATTTTGCAAAGGAAAAGAAAAAAAAAAAAAACGAAAAACGAAAAAGTTAGCCATATGGTCTATGTACAGATATTTACGCATTTATTTATCCACCCGCACGCTCGTTTTTCCGTCCGCCTACAGAATGGTGTCCCGTTTGCACACCATTTTTTCGAGTCAATTTTTGAATTTCTCTTTGCGCCACTTCAATGTTGCATTTGCTGATATAAAATTGATTACGAAAATGAAAACAAATAAATATAAATATGCGTAACTGCAGAGTGGTTGACTTTCTTTTTATTTACGACGGAAATGATCTGTTTAAATAGAATTACGTTTTCCTCATTTTTCTTTTTTTTCTTTTTTGTGTTGTACGCTATTTTGGCATTCCAAACAACTGTTTGTGTTTAATAGATAAAGTACCCCCAATTTTCCTGTTATCATCGTTTTTTTAAAAGTATAGAAAACTGAAAGAAAAGGAATGTAGAAAATAACGCTTCGGAATTTTTTTTATTTTTTCCCCCCTTTTGTGTAGATATATATACCAGTACTTACGACTTGCATATACACACATTTGCGCGTGTTGTTGCCTTCATTTTTGTCCCTTCCCCTCTTTAGCGAACCAGCAAAATGGCAATCTGCTGTAGGAATGTGATGAACCAGGTGAAAGGTACAAATTCACAGAATTGAAAAAAAAAAAGGAAAAAAGTTTTCGTAAGAAGGCTGCACATAACGCTATGAGGGTATATGTATGCATATATACGTACGCATTTTTGCTGCTCGTATAGTAATAATGGGCGCAAAAAAAAAAAAAAAAAAAATTGTAAAATTATCACCAAAACTTTTTAATTTTTCTTTTTTTTTATTCTCTTCAGAATCCAACTCTGCCAAACACGGTATAAAACGCTTTACATAACACACATTTGTATATGTAAAGAAGAGCAAGAAAAAAAAAAAAAAAAGATGACGTAAATGCAAAATTATCTATGTGTGCAGTTGTTCATTCCTTTGAGTGAGAAAGGGTTAGAAAAAGCAGGCACTTAGGTGAGCCTTAATATTGGTGTGCCCAGATGTGTATGTATTTTCACATTTTCATGTCTTTGCATACCAGTAGTTATATCCGTCCATGTGTCATCCACGTGCACACAACTGAGTGTTTGCAGCACGCCAAGCAGCGTAGGAGGCGGAATTTGTAATTCAGAAAAAATACTCCGCAGAAATGATGTAGATGCTCAAGTGTAATTTTTTTTATATATCATAAAAGTGTTTAAAAACGCATGACGAAGTAGATGAATAGAAATTTTACGACATTTGCACCTCTGTGGCATTTAAAAATTTAGGAAGTTTCTTTGTTGTCTTATGTTCATATTCCCAGATTTAATCTTTCCCATTTCTGCTCAGGGAGCTGTGCACCGTATGGATGAACTTTATTTTATCTGTGTACATTTTTACCTGCATTATCAGTTTAGTGTGTGAACAAATTTACGGATTGCTGTCCAATTTAATATATTTTTTTTTGTTCTTCACGCAATTTGAAAATTCACTTTTGGTAACTGACCCGATATTTGCCTTTTCGTATACCGTTAATAGAAATTTTGTATAATTGTTTGCGCGGAAAAAAAAGAACCGAGTTTTACATGTTTACATATATGTGTACAATTATAAGAGTAGACGAAGGCATAAAGTGATAAATTGCCTTGTAGTTTTATTCATTCTTTAGAGAGAAAAGCAAGCAAGCAAACAAACGAACTAACGAGCGAACAAAACAAATAGTCAACATAACGTAAGAAACATTTTTCCTAACTTTGTGCATGATGGCAGATAACAAAGGAGCATATTTAACTTTTGACAATGCGTCCAATGGATCGCTATTCATTGTGTGGAAAAAGGAGAAAGTGGACAACGCCCTTATGTTTATAAAACCAACAAGAACGGTGGCTGAGTTTAAATTCACGAGCAACAGCGGGAAGTCAGAGCTGATAAGGAATTTACAAGTAATAACTTAAACTTGGAGAAAATGGGAAGACAACTAAAATTGGGGAGAGCTTTTACTTCATTTTTTAGAATGGTTGCCTTTTTTGTTATTCCTTGTTTGTGTGCATTTTTAATGAGCCCCTTTTGCTTTCTCCGCTCCCCTTTACTTCCTTTTTTTACTTCCTTGTTCTACTTCTTTTTTTTTATGTCCCTTTTTTCCCCTTTTTCCTTT